TGTAAGTTAACAAATGATGTAGACTGATTTGATTTCAAATCTCTTGAAATAAAATGAATATATATCTCATTTGGTTATTAAAGTCTGAATAAATGAAATTTTTGAGATTTTAATCTTTATGGCATTTAGTTGATATCAAATTTTATTTGACTATTAGTTTTTAAGAAATAAAAATTAAATATTAACTTTGAAAAAATTTATATTATTATCAAATTTAAATTAAAAAATGTGATATAAATAAGTTACCCAAATTGACTACTTATATTATATCAGAAGATTTTTTGTTCTTTTCTATTTTTTTATATGAATTAGAGTTTTAAAGTCTAATTACAACATTAATCAACTACCAAAAAGAAAGAACCAATAAGAGTTCCTTCTATACCTTTGTTATAATTTTCAACATAATTCCTCAAAAATAACTAAAAGAAATGGTTCTCTTTATTAAAATTATATTAATGCATTATATAAGTATTTGATCAATATATTTATATACAAAATATTAAGAATATTATTGTAATATAGTATTGTAAGATAACAATATTAAATAAAAATGGAGTAACTTTGACTTCAATTTTATTCTTTATATTTATTAATTTTTTTATTTTAAATCATATGAATTATTGATTTTATATATATTTAACTATTTTTAGTTTTTTAAAATATAAATATATTTATAATTCGATCAATAAGAGTTAATTAAGATTAAAATCTAATTAGAAGTTTTTAATTTTTAAAATTAGATTTTATAAATATAGAAGAATATTAAGAAGAAATTTCAATCTGATAAAATGATTAAAATAATCAGAATTTTCCTGGTAAAAAGATTTAGCTAAATTCTTCCAATATTCACAAATTCTGGAATTTATATAATCCTATTTATTGAGCAAAAATTTTCTTCAGGATGATAGAAAAGAAATATATATTATATTATATTATTTAATGATTTAACAATTGTATTTAAAAGTTTGAATAATCTAAAGAGGATTATAATCTTTCTTTTTTTATTTAATTTTAATTATTTATATTGTATGAATGCAAAATTAATCATTGATGACTTTAATATTTCAGTTTGGATATGGTTTCTTGTTTGTATTATCTAATATAGATTTATAATATTTTACTCTGCTCTCTATTTCATCATTTACATATTTGGTATTTGATAATTTTTGGTTTGTCTTATTTAGTTGACTCTCTTGTCGACAGCTTGAATTTGAGGGATTATTTATTATAATACTTTTTCATTAAAATTTGCTTTTAATTAAACTGGTACTAATTCCTTTTTTAACATTTCTACTTTGTCACATAAGCAATATTACTCATAATATTAAATATATGAAATCAATTCAGGAGATTAGTTTTTGATTTAACTTATTTAACTTTTTAAGTATTTCTTATTATTTATCAGAAATATTTGTAGATTATCATTTCCAGAATTCCTTTATAAATCTAAATGTATAGCATTAGAAAGATTCATTTGAGTCAATAGTTTGTTTTCACAAATTTAAACCATAATGTTTTAAGGATCTTTTCTAAAATGCTATTTTACAGCTTGGAATGAATATAATAGATTCAGAAAGTTTTAAAAATCTTCATAAATATAGTACAATATTAAGGCTTATTCTTATTATTAATTAATTGACTTGTATTATTATTCTTGTTATTAATAATGATAATTAGTATTCTTATCTTAAGGATTATTAGTAACAACTAGAGATTTATTATTCGCTATATTTAATGGTCCTCCTCAAGTTATAATATATTCAGTGATGTTGAATTTAATCTTGTTGTTAAAATACTTTCTTAATTGTTGAACAAGAATAAATTTTTTTCAATTGAAAAATATATTTTTTTTTTAGAAACATCTCACAATAAATCTAACTAATACTATTACTATAATATGAGGTCAATTGAAAAGGAAGATGTTTAAATAACTATTATTCAACAAAGGTTTCTTTAATGATTTATAATTAAATAGGAAAATAAATCGAAACTTTAATTCAAACTATTAAATTAAAATGATAATAATATGATACTTATCAAATATGGTCTTAAGTCAACCAGTTTACCATTTTAAAAACCAACATTATAATAAATCCCCAACCACTAATAGATATTTATTATATTAAATACATTAATTTAAAAGATTAAACTTCTTATTTTAATAAAGTTTCCCATAAACTCCATTTTTTGCAATTTTATATTCACCTTATAAAATGACTTATATTACCTAATTAATTAATTAATTAATCATATATGATATAATACTCATAAAAATCTTCAATAAGTTTTACCCATTTACCCTTCTTCTATTCTTAATCTAAGTAAAGTCCACCATTACTAATAGTAAAAATTAATTGATATATATTAACATCTTGTATAAAATTCGTTCTAATCTTATTATTGATGGACCATCTTCCTTGTCTTATACTATTTTTATACTCTCCTTTCTCAATTTTTTAACAAATACTAATATTATATTTCTAAAATTTTATGAATACCAAGAACAATTTTTAATCATTTCTGCCCATAATCTTACTTTCAAACTATTTTGGCTATAAAATCCTCCACCACTTATAAATAATAATAATAAGATTATACCTCAATTCTTTTTTTGACATTCTCCCATAATTCATTTAATAAATATCCCATCTGCCAGTTTTATAATCATTTTTATATTTACCATAATACTGTTTATAACAATTACTTTATATAATTTTCCTATTAGTTTTATTTTCAATATTAATTAATTGATATCTACTATAAGTAACTTAATTTTAACTAAATAATGTAACAATGATTACATATCAAAATCACCACAAATATCTATCGAATTTCTATTTTTCAATCCATTTTGATCATATAACCCACATCCACTTTAAATAAGAGAAAATATTTTACATTTATTAAAATGGTTGTCACTCTTACCCTAGGTCAAATATCCTATTTACCCTATTTTTTACCATTATGATACTCACACTTAAAAATGATTTAACACTAACTAATATTAATATTCTAAATATTTACCTATAGAAATTTTCAAACAAATCAACCCAGTTTCCTTTCTTCAAACCTCATTTGTCGTATTAACCACCTCCACTTATATTATAAAAAAATTCTACATGATTTTATCATCAAAATCTATTTTCTATCTCCCTAGTTGTCTATTATAATTGTAGATCCATTATAAATATTTACTCAAAATAACTAGAACTCAAATATAACCATAAGGCAATCTTTTAATTTTAATTATCATAAAAACCATCTCCACTTTCAAATTTAGATAATAATAAGTTTATACATATTTTCATTCTAATCTTAGAATCTCCAAAATCCTGTTCTTACATCATCTCTATATTCTCCAATCTGAAAAACTTTAGTTTTTCTAATTATTAAAACAAAAATTATTATTCATAATAGTTTCTTATTATCTCATACCATTAGCCTTACTTTTTCCATCTTCATTATTTAGTGTTGATATCAACAATTTACTATACTATCTTCCAGCTTTTCTTAGAGCCTGTTTGTTCCAATTAACAATCCACTTTTCTACCGTCTTTAGATTTTTGTATTCTTTTGTCTATTTTGAATTTTGAATTTAGCTTAAATAACTGAATATTTCAGTATTTTCAAGAATTTCATTAAATTGATCTCTAAAATTTTATAACTGTTTCATACTTATTATGTTTCCCTGAGTTGTTATGTAAATAATATCATTCTTTTTGGTTTAAGCTGAATTTAAGAAAATTCAAATTTTTTAATTATTGAACGTTTTTTTATTGTTGATAGGATTAAAAGTCAATCTTTACAATTATGTTAACAATTATCTAGTTAAAAAAAGTACCCTTTATTTTAATTTTTAATTTAGTAATAATCATTTATACCTCAAGGCATTAATATATAGATTTTTCAACTTATTAGAATTTGATTCATTCCATTTTTTGGATAAAAATAGTTTGTTAAAATCAGATTTGTTGTGTTTGGTTGTCTTTACTACTCTCTCTCTTTTAATTTTTAGAGTATTTGATTTTAACAATATAGACAAAAGATTAATCATCAATCCTCCAACTTGCAGTTTTACAATTAAATTTGATTTTGATTCATATTATTAAGTCTTTGAGTATAATTATTGAAAGGTCTATAATTTATGATTCTAAATTTTAGAAAAACATTGATTCAACTTCTCAATCGAACAGATATAAAGAAACTTTACATTTACTTTGTCTAAAACAAATATTATTATATATGCCATTTATTATAATAAATTATTATTTATAATTTAAACGCAATTATTTCACATAATTAATAGTTGGGTTAATTAAATCTAATCATTTCTGGTATTAAGTATCAATTAATTGAAGATTTAAACAATTAAAAAAGTATTTTAATATCAAAATTTGTTGAAATTGTAAATTAAATCAGTTGAAATAACTGGATAAAAAATTTAGACACCACTTATTATTTAAATAAAATAATCTAGATTGATTAGTAATATTTAGCGTAAAATGTTTTAATTTAATCATAATCATCAATCAAACTTCAGGTACAGGTGGAATTCTAAAATTATAATAGTTAGATCAATTATGTTTATGATATTATGATTTTATCAAGCTCTATCTTTATTAGTATTTTCATATTCAAAATTAAGTGTAATTCAAAAAATTAAAAATAATTTTTTCAATAATTTAGTGATATTTTATAACTTGTACGTACTTCTTACAACAATCTTTTGCTCACATGATCCTCTTTGCCATAAAATACAACTCTGATTAAAAGCGTAAATTTTATTATAACACATTCAAATCTTCATTTATGCTAAATTTTCCCCATTCTGTTTATAAGTGGGATGTATTCAACAACTTTCTATCTAAAGAAATTCTAAAATTAATTCTTGTATTTATATTGAATGACAATATCAGATTAATCTTTTTATGGATACAAATTTTCTAAAAATCTGTTTTTTTATTTATTTATTTTTGTATTAAATTTTTCTTTCATAAGAAAAAAAAAGAAAAAAATCTACTAAATTTCAGTCCATTACATTTGAATTAGAACTAAAGAAAATTTATGTATTTACTTACTTGATTTAGAGATGTTTTAACATCTTGTTTAAGTGAATGATCTTTTTAATATATAGTTACATTAATTAATTGAATTAAAATAATTATTAATAATATTACTCAAAATTTTAGTCTATGAATTCTTCAAACTCAGATTCATTAGTTTAATCCATCTTTCAACGAAAGGGATGATAATTTCTTAGTAATTTTATTAATATTTTAAAATGGAAGAGGAAGTTACGTTTTTAATTTTACACTTGTTAAGGGATTTTGGTCCATCTTATTCTTAGAAAATTAAAATTATAATAAAATAGTGCCTCTTCTTTATTAGCATAATACTTTTAAATCTAGAATTTATTTCTAATTTTATTGTGGTTTCTTAATTAATTTATGAATTTATTTATTATTATTTTTAATAAAAAAGTAATCAACAGAAAAAGAAAAAATAATTTTCCCTAAATTTTTTGTGGTGATATTATTTCAGATTTTATAGTTTCCATTTCTATAACTAGTTTAAGTAGTGCAAGAATTACTTGAATATTTTTGGGATTGATAAATTAAGTTTAGGATCCATAGATGATTTTTATAAATTGTTAATAATGAAAAATCGATTAATAGTTATTGAATTAGAAGTTTATGATGAATTCAATTAGAAGGGCTATTGTATCAGTTTTTAATCAAAATACTGATTTGATTTGTAAAAGAGGCTAAATTTAAAGGTTTAAGAAATTAAATATTCTACTCAACTATGTCAATTTTAAGATGTATTAATATGGTTATTTGAATTATATAGTGATACTATTTTAACTATTTAAATACCCAATAAAATGGTTTTATTGATCATTAATAAATGAATAATTAAACAAATGATAATTGGCTCTTTAATTTCGAATACTAGTAAGAAATCATCATAATCCAATTTTATAACCATATATTAAACTCTATTTAATTCAGAATAAGATGTTATAAGAAATTATGAATCTTTTACTTTAAAAAATGCTGATTTATCACAGTTTTCATTAACAATTTTAGTTTAATCTAATGATAATATGGAAAATGATGTTTTAGAAAATTTTGAAAATTCAATAACATTAAAATATCTAAAATTTTTGATTAAACAAAAGGAGTACTCTTAAAGATTATGAGATCAAAAACTTATATTTTGATCGGAATCACTGCCCAAGTCTTATACTAAACCAAGTTTTCTATTAAGAAATGTTCATTTCCTTTAAAATTTCAAATACAATGAGTAGGCAATATTTGAACTAATATTATCAATCTACTAAAATTAAAGTCTCATATAATATGTTTTGATGTTCATATATAATCTTTTAGAATAATATGATAAATAACTGTGCACATTATAGTTATATAGTTCTAAAGGATTCAAGCTAATTTTATTTATTTGTATGATATAGTCATTACACTATTTTATTTTTTATTCTAGTGGTTTTATCCATTTCTTATTTCTGTTGTTAATTTCCAATTGATTTGGCTTTAAGTGTTATTTTACTAGATGTTAATATGTATTTCTTTATGAATATTATTTACATTTATTATTAGCTTTTATTATTTTAAAAAAAAAAAGTAAACATTTGGTTTTAAGCGATTATTATAAGTATTGTCTAATAGAAAATTAAAATTATATTAAAATAATTTCTAATTACTTTTTCAATAGTTTTTATTCATTCCTAAATCAATAAATTAGATTCTTATTGAGCAAATGTATTAGAAGTATATAATGTTTTTGGATTAGAATTTTAGGATGATTAATTGGATAAAGCACATGTAAATTACTATATTTTTATTACAACATTTATATAATCATTATATTTGCATACTTTCTACTCAATAATGATTTCTTTTATTAATTTGAAATTATTAGAAATTAAAATTTGATTAAATAATAAGTTATTAATCTCATTTAAAGACATTTCTATTTAAAATTATATTTATCAAACAATATTAGAAAATTTGCTCCTCAAAAATACTATAAATTAGATATAAAAGAAATTTCATAAAATAAAACATATCCAATTTAATAATCAATATAATAAAAATCGTCAAATCAGGCTTATACGCATAGAAAGCTGAAATTTTAATAATAACTAAATTACCAACTGTTTCACCTGATAAATTCACAAATTTTAAAATCAAAACAATTTAATCTTAAAATGTAAATTTTACGATTTCAATTTTCTTTTATCCCGAAAATTATTCTGCTTAATGATTATTTTGATCAATTGCAATAATTTTCAAATTATGTTTCTTGCCATCAATATCACAAATCCAAAGTATTATATTATTAATCTCATAATTTTTAGTGTCAACAACTGTCTTAATCTTGCACTTGTGATAATTGCTCCATTAGATTAAGAAACTATAGTTCATTAATTTATTTTATTACACATCTTTATAATAACCCCTTGATATTGATTCGTTAAATATTTACTAAAGATCATAAAATTTACAATGTAACATTGTGTTTGCAAATAATTTGAAAAGGAGGCCTTTTTTTAATTATTTATTACAATTATTGATTTTATTTTGGTTGATGTTGATATAATGCTTGAATCATTTTTTTTATGTTAAAATGAAACATTAATTTATGAACATATATTTAAATTTTTCATTCAACAAACAAAGATTTCAATAATACTAATTGCAGATCATTCTAAATATTTACATCAAAATATGTACATTTGAGAAAAAAATCTCTACATTTTATATAAAATTCATCTGTGAAATACTCTTAATATTATTATTCAGGATTTATAGATGATGTTAATGCTTTCTTTATAGAATATTTTTAAAAAATATTATTCTGATGAATAAGCTGAATTAAATATTTCCTAATTAATTTATTTTTCAATATATTTTTGCAGTAATCATCGACTATTTTTTTCGATGATCTTAATTAGCTGCAATCTAACATTTTGGACAAATAAAGTTTATTATTTTTCAAATGAAACCATTCTAGGCTTTTTTAAAATTATTATTTTGTCTTTTTGGTTGTTTTAATATTTCGATTCATTTAAGCCATTTTCAAAAAATAATTATTATGATTCATATTTCTTAAATGTAAAGGGAAACCAAAAAATCCTCCTTATCAAAAATGAAATCTATTTCATCTAAAATACTAGAAAAATATTTGATTATATATTCATATTAATTTAAAAAATAAATTAGATTAAATTATATTTCAATTTCCGAAGTTCGAAAAATAGAAATAAAAATAATGGAAAAATTCTTAATTTTATTGGCAACTGCTAGATTAGTATATCCTTTCATATATTACGATACTGGATTAGCTAGGAACTTTGATTATACTTTTGATACAGGCTTTGTTTGTAATTTTGGTCACACCCGATCAGCTACTATACCTTTTTCGGATACATTTGAAAAAATACCTTAAGTATTTTTCACTCATGAACATTTTGAACAAGAAATGCCTTAAGTGGGGTTTAAATTATCAATTACAACCATAACTTAAACATGTATAAATTCGTTTTATTTTATTACTAGCTTTTAGTAATAATTAAGTTTAAATTAATAATAGGGTTTGAAGTTGAAACTCCAAATAGTCATTCTTAGGTTTGGGTCGCCTATTAATTTACAAAATCATATAAAGCATTAGAATGTTTTAGCATAAGAACAAGTAGAAAAGAAGTTTTAGATTTAAACATATTGCCTACATTCTATTTAGAATTAGTTTAATTAAATAAAATTTATACTACAACTGGAAACTATGATTATTTGGTTGACAAATCAACTACACAACTTAAAATGATTTTGTAAGTTAAATGTGAAAACAATAATAAGAAAATTCAAGCAGATTTTAATAAATGTAATTCCTGTAGTACTAAAAAGACTCACTCTTTTACTTATAATTGTTTTAAATAAATGAATTATGTAGGTTTCTTCCCCATATTTAAGTAAGCATTTTAATAATATAATAAATTAAAAATAAGTATTCAGTCATCATCACTTGAAATTACATAAATTCTTTATGATCAATCTATTACAGAATAGTCTATTGTGAAAATTTAAATATTAAATTAATGATCAATATAATCATATTATATTTATAACCATAACCAAATCTCAATTATATAAGAACAATTCTCAAAATAATGAATTATCATAATACCCATTTCCATTCTATTTACAAAACCCAAAAGGTAATTATTTTCTATTGCTACATTTATATTATTGAATAAATATTTATTTTATTTAAAGAAAGTAAAATATATTCTGAAATTACTCTGGTTGTTATTTAAATTCTTTAATTTAGAACTCAAACTCCAATAAGGTAATATATATCATTATCCCATTTGATTGAAAACTCTATAGCAGTATGAACTTTTGAGAGAAACAGCAAAATAATTGAAGCAGTAAACAGCAAGTCTTGAATAATATTATGTAAATAAAGAGAATAATTTACTCAAATCACGAGATCCAATCAGGAATCATAAGGATTTGCAGATTTAGTTCTAAAACATTATTCACCACAATAAAAAGAAGAATAATTATATAATTTAGAAAAATAAGTTCAATCCTTTTAGATTCCTAGACCGAATGCTTTAAATTTCTCTAAAAAAAATTTAAATATTGAGAAAAGTGATAAACCTATAATAATAACAGCCAGAAATAGAAAAAATTAAATTGTTTTAAATATAATAGGAGAAAAGAGCTATTAATTTATTTAAAAACTAATCAAGAAAATAATCATACATTTCTAGAAGGCTATAAAGAAGAATAGATACACAATTTACTATAAGAGTAATTTAATAATCATATGGGTCAAATAAATTTTTCCAAGTTTCTTAGTTGAAGCATTCAATACTTCTCTATTAGCTCTAAAAAAATCAATTCAAAAATTGAAAAAGCTATGATTATGTGAAATAAATCATTATAATTCCTAATTATTTTCAAATAAATCATTTGAATATTATTTCTCCAAAATTAATTATATCGTTTTATATTTGAATTTTCATAACTGCATTATGAATTTTTATAATGAATTTCTATTTCATTGATGATGCAGATAATTGCATTGATATCCCTTTTTACAATAAGGAAATATTTGCATCAATTGAATATTGAAAATAAATACTTTTATTGTAGAATGAATATATTAATAATTCTTGGTACAACAGAGAAATAATCTACAACTTTCATTGTATTATTATTTTGCTAAATAAATTTATTTAGTAATATATTATTCACTTTTACCTATATTTATTTTCTATATCATTATGGATAATCTATCTTCGGAATGTTAGATAAGGTTAATATGGTTCTTCATTAGATTTTTTGCCAAGTTTTAATTTTAAATTCATTAGGAAGAATATACACCGAATTATTTCAAAAGATATTGAATTGTTGTCTATCCCAAACTTAAATCTCTGTTTCATACGAAATTTTTTTAAGTCTTTTAAGTAACAGATTTATCAGTCTTAATAAGGTAAAAATTTTTTAGACTTCTATTGATTCTAGCATTCAAATTAGTTTTGTTATTAATAAATATTTCTATATTTGAAAATTTTTTAAAATTATAAGGGCAAATGATGCTGAAAACATATCAAATTTTAATCTCTTTGTTCAATTATAATACATAAAATAAATTATTTTTCAAAACAATTTTAAAAAATCTTATTTTCAATCTTTGAGGGTTAAATATATAAAAAAGGTTTATTGAAAATACAGTTTTAATATAGAACGTTTTAATTAGAAAGTATTAGATAATTACATAATTCGACTTAAAATGCATTTTGTTGTTCACTTTAAGTGAGATTTAAGTTTG